CACTAATATTTTTGTAAATAAATAAATATATTCTCATGGTGTAAAATATCCTTGGATACGTCAGTCGATAACAATAAATCAACTTGATAACTTTTTCTGAATAACTTCTTTCATTCGAATTAATTATCGTTAGTAATATAAAATATAAACCTCGTGGCAGATATTGAAATAAACAAAAGCGTTACTGTCAAATATCGATCATGTTTAATCGATCAAACATCATCAATTCCTTAAGATAGTAGTATAAAGAAAGTTTTGTTTCGACAATCGTAATGATAAGTAAACGATATCTTTTTTTATTTTTAATAACCTTCAAGATAATACTAAGTCGAGAAAAAATATTCAATAAAAATGAAAATGAATTAAAACGCGTGGACAATGGTCGTTTGTCCAAGGATATTGTACCAAAAAAATATATCATAGCAGCATCACCGGATTTTATTGAGGACAGATTTTATGGTGCTATACAAATTGATTTACGAATAATGAAGGTAACATTTCGATCTTTTACATTTCGATTAATTGAATCGAATTGTCACTTTCAATATGTCTGACTCAACTCTTCTTTCCCGCATTTTTTGAAATTAACATTTATATAGCTTTATATTTAAAAAAATATAACTATTAGATCGATTAAATTGTATAAAAGTGATCGAATTGTGTTACTTTCAATACATTTGATCTCTTTCCATTCCTGTTTTCTAGATTAAAAATTATATAGCATTACATTCAAAGAATTTAACTATTACATCAACTAAATTGTATAAAATTGATCAGCCTTATAACGAAATTTCAATCGATGCTATTTATCCTATCGAAGAGTATGAAATGATAGTGATCGAAACTACAAATCCTTTATCACCTGATAATTATCTTCTGAGAATGAATTACAGTGGTACATTGAACAATAAAATTAATGGCTTTTATTTGAGCAGTTACGTGGTGAATTCTGAACATGATCGTATCAGGTGATTTCAATGATTTTTATTTCTTTTTTTTTTTTTGTATAGTTAATATTTTATAATATTCTTCTTTCTTTGTTTTTTTTTTGTTGTTGTTGCCGTCTTATTTATCTCACAGAAAATTGGCGGTCACACAATTCGAGCCAACTTATGCAAGAAGAGCTTTTCCTTGTTTTGATGAGCCATCTTTTAAATCTATTTTTCATATTCGTATCGTTCACGATGGAAAATCAAATTATCATGCTTTATCTAACATGCCAAGTATAGTAAGTAACAAATTATATTAGTTGGACGTTCTATTCTTATTTTATAAAGTTTATAAAATACTAAAAATCTACAATATATATATTCAAAAGTTAGATATAAAAGATATAATTATTTTTTCGAAATTTAATTGTAGAAAGTCGATAAAGCAGATGATAAAAGTGATTTGATGGTAACAATTTTTGCTCCAACTCTACCGATGTCGACATACTTGGTGGCTTTTCTGATAAGTGATTTCGAATGTTTAACTTCAAGCGCAGATTCTTTAAATGGAACTAGAATACCACTAAGTGTTTGCGTTAGATCGGATTACAAAAATAAAGTTCAATTTGCTTTGAATATTGCTTCACAAGCTATCGAATATTATTCGAATATTTTGAACATCGATTATGCTCTACCAAAATTAGGTATAGCATTAATTAATTGAACAATGTAATTCATATTAATATACATTTTCTTTTAACATTTTATATATAGAGAACTAATTTTGTGTATGAAAAAATGTTTCCATCTATAAGTGGCGTTAGTGATCCCATTATCGAATAAGTATAAAGTGTTGCATATTTTCAGGCGTTAATTAAATACGACAAAAAATTTAAGAATACATAATACTGATAAAAAAAAAAAAGAATTTTTCGATATCGTTATTAGTTTTAAAAATATTCCTTGGCTGAATTATTCTCGACACTATAGTCGTGGCAATTATTTATATTGATTATGTGTTTGGAAGCTTAATATTAATAATTATTAATTTTCTCTATTTTTACTCTCATATAATATTATTAATACATAATATTATTGCACAATTCAATATTAGTACTGTTTGATTTTATACCAGTATCCTTTTTATTACATTATAACAATAATAATAAAGAATCATAAAATATACATACATATAACTTAAATTACTTTCATAATAATCAACATATACATATAATTTAAATTACTTTCATAATAATCAACTAACGCATTATACATATGTATTATATAATAAAATGCATACGTATTAAAAGATAATTGATCAAAATTTTGCAGATCTCGTTGGAATACCGGATTTTGCAGCTGGTGCAATGGAAAATTGGGGTTTGATAACGTTTCGTGAAACCGAATTGTTATACAGCGAGGAACATAGTTCCTGTGAAAATATAAAAAGCGTTGCTCTCACGGTTACCCATGAATTAGCACACATGTGGTTTGGAAATTTAGTTACTATGAAATGGTGGAACGATCTTTGGCTCAACGAAGGCTTCGCAACATACATGGAACATGTTGCAGTCGATTTTATTTTTCCCGAGTGGTATCAGGTCTCGTATATTATCAAATTAAAAAAGAAAACTACGTGAACAAAATTGTAAATAATTGAATTATTAATTATTAATTGTAGTGTAATTATAATGGTATTTTTTAGATGCAAACATTTCCAGTGAATACCAAATATACGTCAATGAACTACGACATGAAAAAAAACGCACATCCAATAATAAATCATTTGGAAGCTTCCGACGAGATAGGCCAAATGTTTGATCGTATTTCTTATCAAAAAGTACGCTAACATTTTATTGTCCTATTATATAATTAATAACATTATTTATTTTCCACAATTTCGTAATATTTGCCATATATATATTTCTAAATAAAAAATACTTTGTATATTTGTTTTTTTTGTTCTTTTTTTCAATCAGAGTGCTGCAGTGATAAACATGTTAGAAAACGCAATAGGAAACGTTAAATTCATTTCTGGAATTAGAAATTATTTACAAAAGTATCAATTTTCTAATGCTGAATCAAAAGAACTTTTTGAACTTTTTAACGAGGAAAATCACGATTTCGTTAACCTAATCGATGTTTTAAACCGATGGACGAGATTAACTGGATTTCCTGTTGTTAATGTACAGCAGAAAGACAAATTAATCAAATTATCTCAGCAACGATACGTCATTGATAAAACACAAAATGATTCATTCAAGTAATTAAGATAAACGATGATTTTCATTTTTATCAATTATTGTTCTATATAATAGTTTATTTGTAATAACAGGGAAAGCTGGGATATTCCTTTAAAATACATAACGAGTCGACAAGAAGATGGTATCAAGTTTGCTTGGTTCCCAGCAAATTATTCTTGCGGCAAGTTTTTATTTTCTTTTTGTTTCCGATTTAACAATATGCAATTTCTCGATCCCATTTTAATTGATCCAAACAATTTTCAAATCAATAAATATTGTCGGCTTCAACAAAGTTGACCTTAAGATTTATCACTAAATAAAACAAATAATAAATCTCATAACATTTGGATCGATTAAAATGATTGATTCATCCTAAAAATGTATTGATAAAAACTAAAAATCCTTTTTAATATACGTGCAGTTGAATTGGTCCTAGAAAAACCAATAAATTGGGTTAAATTGAATCATAATTCGGTTGGTTATTACATTGTTAATTACACAAAGGATAATTGGAAAATGTTCACTAATTTGTTATTGACGGATATTCAAGTAAAGTTCACACACACATGCACTTTAATTCTATTGACTTAAAATATGATTAATAACAAGAATATGCTTTAATAATTTGTTTTCATAATTTGATGAATAGGTTCTGGATCCAATAAATCGTGCCGATTTGTTGCACGATGCATTTATTTTAGGTGATAATAAAGATCTGTCTTATCATATTGTTTTGAACATGACCACTTATCTAAAAAACGAAAATACTATTCAACCTTGGATAGTTGCTGGTCAATGGATCAATCGAGTTAACAAATTACTTCGGTCAACTAATTTGCATCGTCCATTTCAAGTACAATTTTATTTATTAAATTTTATTATATATTACATACGTACGTGGGTCGAAAAGTTTTAAGCCTGACATACAAGCAATTTTTTTTTTTTTATCGAGCTCACTTTTTTATTTTTCGACATGATCTCAAAACTTTTAGAAAAAAACTTGTCAACACATCCTGTTAAACGTATAATAAAAATTGAAGGATATTGATAAAATTCGCAATATTAATATTCGTCTAATTAATAAAATAACGCATTTATCGTAGTACTACATACAACGTTTGATTGAAAAAATGTATCAACAAGTGGGATGGAACGTGAGCGAGAAAGAGGAATTACCACACAGGTAGAAAATCGATACAAAATTGAATAGTATTATTATTTCTCTTATATTTGATCGTACGAGAAATCTTCCTAATCTCATGATCGATTTTTCGAGAGAATTACGGGTAGTTATACTGAAGATAGCATGCAGTGTAAAATTCGATCATTGCTTGGACACAGCTGCTGTGAAGCTTAAAAAATTTGTTGAAAGTAATGGCACACAAAAATTGCATCCTGATGTTCGTTCTGTCGTTTATTCTTTTGGTTAGTTATCTTAAGTAATATACCCAAAAATTTACCTTTATACATGTATTAAATTAGCCCATAATTCATTCATGCGCTTGTGCTGCCTGTTATTTATTTAAAAAAATAACCCACGAACTTATTGGCCACAAATATTTTTCTAATTGAAATAATTCATATATTTATTTATTTATCAAGGTCTCTTTGTGCCAAGTGATGCAGCTGAATCAATATTTGAAAAAATGTGGGAATTCTTTTTAAGAGAAACAGACGTACAAGAGAAAAACAGGCTCTTAATAAGATTAGCAGCTGTTAAAAACAAAGATATTCTCGCTAAGTATGTGTGCTATGTATTTCTAAATAAAATTAAACAATAATTATGTATAAAATTATCTTGATGTGTTTTATAGATATCTCCAAAAAATACAAGATGAGAAAGTAGTTCGTAGACAAGATTTTTTTGAAATTATTAGTAATATCGCTCTAAATCCAATGGGTCTTGATATAGTCTGGGATTTTTTTAGGTAAAATATATCATTTATTATAAAAAGATATATTTTTAGCATCAAGATTATATATAAATTTTATATATAAATTTAAAAAAAAGATATAATTATATATATAGCATCAAGATTATATACAAATTGTACATATAAAGAAAAAACAAATATAATTAGCCACATGATTAATACAAATCTTAAATATGAGTAAAAACAAAATATGAAATATACAATTTTTTTTATAGAAACCATTGGGAAAACTTAATTGAAAAATTCGCACTAAACGATCATGTTGTGGATGCAGTTATTGGAGCAACTATCTCCTTATTTAAAGATGAACAGAAATTGAAAGAAGTATTTTCTTTAACGATTCGCTTAAATCGAATTTTTAAATTGGATCTATTTTTATCTAATACATTAATTTCAGGTTGAAGATTTTTTCAATAAATATCCAAATACTGGGCCAAGTACGCACACAAAAAAAAATGTGATCGAAGATATCAAAAGTAACATCAAATGGTTAAATGCAAACTTATGGCAATTCGAACAATGGTTGAACGAAGATGAAGTCTATCTCCCATAGAGTTTTTATTATAATATATAATTATATATACGTAGGTAGAACAAAGTTTTAAGCCAATTCTTTTCTAAGTTTTGAAATTAAATCGAAAAATAAAAGTAAGTTTGATAAGAAAAAACTGTTTTAATGTTAGGCTTAAAACTTTTCAACCCACCCTCGTACATTTTTCATCATTCGTTGGCTCAATTTTTCTTTTAAACTATGCTTTATATTTTCTGAATGTATGTAGGTGGATTGAAAAGTTTTGAGCCTCGCATAGAAATAATTTCTTTTGTCACTCTTTTATTTAAGAAAAAAAAATTAATAAGTCTATTTTTGTTGAGGCTCAAACGTTTCAACCCACTTTCATTTATGTACAATCCTTATATTAAAAAATATATTTTATATACAATTTATCAATATTTTAAAATTATCATCTCACACAGATAATTTTAAAGTTAAAGCAAAAAGTGTTCTGATATTTATAAAATTAATGTAAAATATATATTACATGTCAGCTGTACTCCACCTATATGCTTCCTCTTGTAATGCTGTTTTTGCATTCTGCGCATCAAACCATTTCTTTTCGTATCCATTACTTCTATCAACTCCATCCCAACGATGACCAGGTTTTATTCCAAAACGATTAGGCATATAAGATCCTTGATATCGTAGTTCATCTGGTTTGATTTTTCCTTCCTTTATTTTTTTGTTCCTAATATATTCTAACATTGGATCACCTTCTTTTTCTTGTTCCCTAAGTGCTTTGTCTAAATCAGCATCATCGGCATATCTTGCCAATGGTTTGCTTACTTCATGAAGATAGTTCTTTAATTTTTCTTCTCTATCTTCTATTTGTTTTAATCTGAAGAGAGATAAAAATTATTCAGAGAAATATTATTTTAATTAATTATATATATATATTTAATAATTTATAATATTATATATACATATTATATTATGTATATAATATTTTAAAAAGAAAAAAAAAGATTCTTACCCTCTACCCCATTTGTCATATTTTTCATTCAATTCCTCTTGTCGCTTTTGTTTTTCTCGCTCTACAGCAGCTTCAGCTTCTAAATCTCGTCTCCTACCAGTTCTTGAATCACGTAAAATTGCCTTCTGACCGGCACCGGTAATTTCTTTGCTTAACTAAAAAAAATTACATTTGTCAGATAAATAAAATTTGCTTACTGTGACATAATAAATAAATAAATGAAGTTTTTGTATCGTGACATAATAAATAAACAAATGCAAAAAATAAATACCCTACTAAACATTTCAATTTCACGCTTTTTATAAGCCTCTGTTTCTTCACGCAAAGACTTTGCATCCTGCAAACCAGCGCTCATGCCACTTAACGTTTTCTTCATTTTTGTATCATGCGTTGTATTTTCACGACTTGACGACTCACTTCCATCAGGTTGATCGTCCCATCTTGAAGAGTTTCTACAACGTTTATGACTGTCATAGTCTTTTTTACTTTTTTTGGAATGTCTCGATGTGGATCGATCACTCTTTTTACTTTTTCTAAGTGGATTCAAATCTGAATCATTATCTTTCCTACTTTTTCTATGTGGACTCAAATTCGAATTATTGCTTCTCTTATTTCTTCTAGGTGGACTCAAATTCGAATCACTGTCCTTCTTATTTCTTCTAGGTGGACTCAAATCCGAATCATAGTCCTTCTTATTTCTTCTAGGTGGACT